CTTGTTTAACAGTTTGTAAATTTGCTCTTCTATAAAAAAATTATTAMTAAATATCAAGCTAGAAATCCAAAATACCTCATGTTTATTTAATAAAATGATTGCAGTGTTGAGATCATGGCCATAATCAGTAGACTGAACAAAGTAATCTTTCTCTGTGACCCACATCTCCTCTTCATCAGCATTTCTGTAGAAGCTCTGAAGCTTAAGGGATTCTTCAAGCCTYGCACGTCGTACGGCTGCCAACTGCAGGAGTTCATTGTAAGCACCTTCAACCTCTGCTTGGTGTTCTCTGATTTGGTTCTCGTCTGGTTTATTTTCTGAGTATCAGAGAAAGTAAGAAAATAAACTTATTAGAAAATTTTAAAATCTTTTGAGAAATTGAATTGCTGTATTTCTTCAGAGTTTGCTCTTCTTTTTTCTATCAGTTTGGCTTTCTTCTCAAGCTGAAACAATCCCAACACTTACCATCATCATCATCWACTTGAAGGAAACTCTCAGCTTGGTTGTTTACTGACTTGACTCTATCAGCCATGGCAGCTACGTCTGCTTCAACAAGGCTATGTTTCTGTAGAAGATCCTGGACACCTAAGAGATGCTTGCCATAGTCTTCTGATAACAAACCAATCTAAGGACAATGCATTTAATTTAGATGGATGTTGTAATTAAGAATTTTTAAGTGTTTTAGCATAAATTTTAAGGACAAATCCCAAGCAATACTTTTTCTGGCAAGTTTTTGTAGGTAAAATCAAATATTAACTTGATCTCATTATTTTCATTAATCTAATAACCTTGATTTCATCCATCCAATCAATAATATTGATCATCTCTTGGAATACTCTCTGTAGACGCATGCACTTTTCCAAACGAGCTCTTCTCTGCTTGAGTAGAACCAGAAGAAGYTCCCATAGTTGGAWGATCTTGTTCTTGCCATTTTGGATTCTCTCTGCATCGTGATAGTTTTCCCTCACAAGCTCATCAGCAACGGCAACAAGAGTATTAACACGTTCTTCATATGCCTATGCATAGAGTGCATAATAATAACATAAGCAAAGTGTGTTTGTAAGTTTGTTACAATGTGTTTATTATTACAATGTATTACACAGTAAACATTATTATAGAAACTATGTACAGTAGTTGATGAAAAGCATACATGGAAACTTTGAATCAGTACAGCAGCGTTATCATTATATACTAACCATGATATCAGTCTCAATGGCTTCATGYTTCTTTGTTGCAGCYTCAACAGCTGGTAAATCATTGCCAAAGTTGTCAATAGCAACAAGACGTTGRTTCTCTTCAAGCCAAGTTTCACGCATAGCATACTAACAAAATCAAAATCAAAAACATTAATTTTCACTACAGAGACAGGAAGGATATSACTCYCTCATGTTGTAGGTCACTGATATGTGCATATATCTACTGTACGTTGTGTTACAAGTGAAGCTCTCCCTAGCTRCACCAATTGATTCAAAATACTGACCTTTCTATCAAATTTCCCAGCAAGCATTTCTAATCTTTCTTGTCTAAGAAAATATCAATGGACTTTAATRCATGATAATATATAGTTAAAAAAAATACATGATAAGGTTAAAAAACACAAAACCAACTGAATAATGYATAAATATACCTCATCAATTCTTCTCTAATTGCAAGTTCCCTTTCATGTTCTGCCTTTTCAAGTCTTTCCCAAGCCTATCAATTTTACATGAAAATTTTGATTATAAGATTTCTAAGACTAACATTACCCTCCAGTTTTCACTCTCAAATTGTTTTTTTTTTAGTTCAAAAAACTTGATATTCATTTATTGAAAATATTTTAGCTACAAATGGAAATTGCTAAAAAAAATTTGTCTTTAAATCCTTTTTTGTATATTTTTTTTATCACTATTAATTCAATTGATTTAATAATAATTCATTACTCAACCAATCAACTTACCCTGTTAATGTCAACCATACTCCTCCCCTCAGGGGGAATGTACATTTTTTGATGATTGGCCCTTAATTTGCTGGTCAGGATAAAAAGCTGCACTTCAAGGTTTCCCTTTTCAACAAACCTGTCAATCAAACATAAAACCAACCAATGAGGTGCTATTATGACAATACTATTGTCCTTGTGAAAGTGAATCAAGTAACACCTGAATCACGTGATAGCTGTTGAGCTGAAGCAATTTTTACTGACACATGAACATGCTATTAGGTTCATCAGYACCTACAAAGTAATTCAGTAATTTTGGAAACTGAGTAAAAACAAGCCMAACCAAGTTAGAAGGCAAGCAATTCATTTTACTTTTTGTACAAAATTACAACAAAAATCTACAGGGAAAATAATAATGACAATTTGGGTTCARTATTCAAATTTTCAAATTGTTATTTTCATTATATAAAAGTAACTTAGTTCAAAAATTATCTTCACTAATAATGCACAATTTCTAATCATAAATTATTTGGTTATTTGAGGTGACATTGTAGTAACTATTCTAATCAAAAGTACACCATCATTAGCGATAAACTAATTATTATATTTATTCTTACCTAGGAGGCTTTTCTTGAGTACGGTACTGATTAAACTCAAGCATTTGTTGTTGGACTCCTATTAATGTGTTTGCAAACTCCCGTTCTGCAAGAGTATGAATCTTCATCTCAATCCACTCAAGAAGATCAGTAGCGAGYTTCTCGTATTCAATAATGAGTGCTTCATTTTCTCGGATTCTTTCTATGACCTGTGGAAATTGAATGTTTTAGTAAAGAAATATAGCTACTTTAAGGTACATGTAATATTTTCTTACCTTTCCTACTCTTGATCCACTAACTTCTACTGTTTTCATCTTAGCAAAATAGTGGTAGTAAGCAGATACGTATGTGATGATGGATTTCTCATCAGGAAAGTCTACGTTTACATCTATATAACAAGACATACATTGAGTGAGTACTATTAACTATTAAGCTTATGTTCAGTTCATACTGACCTTCAGGGTCCAATAAAGGTGTTATTCCTAGCTGAGTYTCAGCAACTTCAAAAGCTTGTTCTAAGTTCTGTTCTGCATCAACTTTAGTGATCTTCTCATAGTCTATCAGATCAGGCCTGATAATGAAAATATATGTATCACGATTATTATTATCTTATACTTGTAGTAATTAATGGTACTATGAAGTGACTTTGTGAGGATTTGAGTAATTAAAAATATAAGTTCCCAATCCCAAGCTTGATGTCAAATWGATGTATTTACTTTTAAAATTAGACTTTGATCTCACCTGTGCTTGTGAATGATTGCATTAAATGCTAAYCCATCTCTCCAGCTTGTAGTGAAGTTTGTTACTGTAACATTGCGATAACTAAATTTGGGTACAAAAAATATATAATTTATAAATGCTCCTACAAGTGAACAATAGCCATTCAAACTTATAAATATATTAATTGACATTTGATTATTAATAAAAAAGCATGAAGTTTACCCAACAGTCTTGGACTGACACCATAACARTAGTGCATCCTTTGCAGATCTTCGTTCTTTTGTTTCTCCCTCAATCCAGATATCAGATATCTATATTGAAAAACAAGATTTAAACTTAGTCAGAATGACAGGATAAACTGCAAAGTCAAGAAACAATACAATAGCCGACTTTAGATATTTTGGTTTAGTGACCATGCACAAAAGAATTTCAGACAAGGCTATTGGGAAATAAAAGAATAAATCAAGATTATCCATTGTATTCCTGGAGCCTCTGKTGCGTTCTTTTGTACATAGTCAAAATACATAAAGTTGACTATTACATTTCAACCAGTAAATATTAAAGAGATATCTTATGRCATCACCATACCTGGAATCGCAGAATAATAGTCCAGATAAGACCAAGAGTAATCTTTTGGTTTCCATCAACRATGTCATGGGCACCAATATTTTCAAGATGAACTCTTTGTTTCTTTAGGAATACCAAACTTTTTTCAACATTTTCTAAATTATGGATGCGCATTCTTCCTTTTGAAGGTTTAGGCTTAAAGAAACAAAATAGTTAAGGTTAAAATCAACTATAGAAAAAATAGTATTCAGGTTAAATACTTTCTAAATGATGAAGATTTATAAACAATTTCGACCTACCAACTTTTCCCCAGAGAGAATTTCCAATAGTAATATAAGCTTGCGGCCATCTTGTAAGTCATGATAAAGTTCATTTACTCTTGCGCCAACTCTTTGTAAGTGGGAATTTATCCATTTTGTGAAGGTCTTTTTCTGTACTCGCTCTCTCTCATCTGGGAATACAGCAACAAGAGTTACAGAATGTTTCAAGAATTATCAATATCTGATTTTAAGAAAAGTTTAGAGTAATATTCTGTTATACAAAGATTATTGTAACAATTTTGAGTAAWTTTAATATTTAATCCGATAGTTAGAAGTGCTGTCATAGATTTACAAGTTCTGTCAGGCATAATTTGCATGTCTAAGGACCAAGCATTTTTCAATGATTTAAAGTGCATTAAGAATATTTTGACAAAGTAAAAAAGCCAAACCACATCCATTAACAAAARCAATTACTTAAGAAAGAGTGTTTATCATACTTTTACAATCATTGTCATTCAAAAACCCTGCACCATTACACAGCACATGTATGCTTTACAAATGGAACATTCCAGACATAATTGTTTGTCACTAAAAACATATTTCGTTTATTAAACAAGCTATATCGATTCACTTGTTAGTTTTCTTTAGCAATATGTCTGTACATTAGAAATATCAACCCCACCCTACTAGCTTTCACCATGCTCGTAAACAGTCTGATATTATCATATGGTCTAATGTCAGCTAAAGGCATGAAGTGTTCCAATATTGAAATCGGACTCAAAGCTCTCCCAGACCCTGGTCCAAAATCATGCCTATTCTTGATCAACGGCAACAAAAGATTTATTGATTTAAACTTTTGGGGAAATGTGTCTCCTTTAACACGAAGAATTAAAATAATGCAAATGTTTTGATTGAGTAAGGCTGTCAAAATCAATTTGAGCAGTGTAGATAGTACACGAAGCACAATTATCAAAGATCAAATTAACACAATGGTATCTAGGGTAGAATTACCAAGCAACTGACTACATATTGCATTATTCAATCCTTCGTGAGGACATTCAAAGAGTAGAGTTTGAAATCAGATGTTTTCTAGRGCACGGAGTCAAAACCCGAATAAACATGGGGCATTGGTAATTAATATTTCACGAACWAAACACAAAAACGTCAAATAAATGCCAATGAGCGATCTAAATATCATTCAAAAATGTACATCAGTCTTAATCGAAAGCATACCTGCTAAAACCTTGATTCTTGATCTTTCGAACAATCGGGCTGAACTTTGTTGCTCCATCCATTCTTCCTCTGTTCCGTGTATTTGACTAAAATCGGTCCCAACTTCACCCATTGTTCCCATAGAATCAATGAAGGCCTRAAAAAATACACTGGTGTATTAGAATGTGAGTTAAATAAAAGGATAGTATGATATAAATCAACTGATCGCAACCAAACGCTTTTATATTTTGGTGGGTATGGCGAAGCGATCGAGAAGATTCCCGATGGAGGCGATCAGACGTTGAGCAGTTTGTATCGTGCGATCAGATCATGCAACTGCTTCACAACTTTACGAATGCCAAATGCATGTCATAAGCAGTGAAAATAAAATTGATTACAGCTTTTCTCTGTCAACTAAACWAGAACTTTGRTGTAGTCTAASCAGAGTTTGTGTACTTCATTTTGAAGTGCAATGTGGTCAAAAGCTTACCTACCACCTTGTKCTATAAATAAAACTACTTTTACCAAAGGCTTCAGCTCCTTAGGGAATACTAACTTACAAGTCAAATTTCCCACTGAAAGATTTCAATAGTATTAYGTCTAACCCTTATAAAATAGACATTTCTGTTCTTCCAAGCTCTCTTCCACACACTAAAACCGACGCGCCCGCTTGTGCTCATTAACCAATCAAAAACCTCGTTGTATTTACAACAACCAATCAAAATACTGGATAGAAATACACCCATTGCTCCCGCCATGCATACAAAATSAAAAGCAGGGTGCAAAGCACAGGCGCTACTTTTCGATACTTTGCTTACAGCTGTAAAAAGTCTGGATTTTACTGTAGTCTACAAGAARAGAAAGGTAAAAAAATAGATGTATTATTTTAAAATTCTTTAGTCTGTAATGAGCGGTGACAAAAACTAGAAATAGTTTATCTTAAATCTTTGCATTGTTTTGACAAAAGATTACAAATTTTCCAATATTTTCTCTTCTATCTTATAGTTCAAGGGCAAAGAAAATACTACACTAACCATAACTTTATTAAGCACACAAGTTAGATATCTCTAAAAGCAATYATGTAACTTCTATTATGTTTTAATAATAATAGTCAAATTACTGAATTATATTTCACAAAACAAATAACAGCTGTGAATTGTTTCAATACACCTTCCCTTTTGCTACAAAAAAACAACAACAGGAAAACTGTTTAGTTAAAAATGACAGTGACTATATCTCTATTTCAACCGATCATTTTAGCCATGTAACATTGTGCTTKTGAAGAATTATTATTACATAACTTATTATCCATAAAATATCAATATTTTTCACTTTCAAATGGTATCACGTCACCTCTTAATATGGGAAATAAAGAACGATTGGTTTCATCAGAAAAAATCATTTGCTTCCATGAATATTATAATGTTTTATACTACATCATGGGTTACTTAGGGACATTACAGAATGTACTTGAGATGTACTCTGCACACATCATCTATTTATCATAATCAAAAGCTGTCACATGATCAAAGAAATCAATCAAATAACATTGAACAAACTCTTCCTTTTTGGGGGTGGGGGGGGGGAGAGATGGAGGTCATTTCTATTCTTAAGGGGGAGGCAAAGAACTTGCTGATATTCAAAATATGAATCATTTCAACCTTGCAAATTTCACTCATGCATTATTAAAMATTGCTACTTTGAGACAAATTAAGGTCATATTAGGAACCACACATAGTTTTACGATAAGAGCAATTTAACTCATCAAAAATTTGGATAAAAATGGATAGATTGAGGTAGCAAAACAGGGTGGTGGTGAATGTTATCATGATTTATAATGTATCATCAAAACAAATAATCCATGGTAGTTATCAAGGCAAAGAAATATTATATATTCACAGACGTCCATTAGAATGTTGAAATATAATGGTCAAAAGTCAAATAATTTAATCATTTTTCATTATAACACAAATATARCTTATATCAAACAAGATAATATGTCTTAAAGGTCAACACTATAAGGGTTGATAAATGGCGATGATAAGCATGAAACCTTTGAGAACAAAACATTAAACTATGCTTATGATAAGCTGATTAGACTAATTTTAGCAGCCAGTGTTTTCAGTTTTATCAAGATGTTATAAAAACTGTCAACTATAAAACAAATTAGATTTTCAAAATGAGCAAAGAAATGCTTCTAATGCAAGTTTGAAATAACAAAAGTTTGAAATGAATATGACAAATTATTATTGAAGTAAAATTATTTACTGTAATCATAGCATATATAATGTACAATAAAGGTTATTCTAATTATTTACTTATGATCATAGAAGATAATMAGGCTATCATAATTATATTTCTTATTTTAGATATCATTGTGGAAGTGAGTAATAATTCGTAAATTATTACAATGCGTTGATTAAAATAGTTTCATGGTGTATATATTCATAGATGTTGAATCAACTTTTGCTCCATACATAGAAGCACATGCCTTATATGGAACATGCTTAGGCAAGARCCYCTTRYKYTSMWAATTCCTTAGTGGCATTTKTTTCATCATAATAACATTTTTGTAGCCCRATGCCACTGTTAGGAGCTTCTTTATCTTTGAAGGGCATAATTAACATTTGAATTTGGAGATTATAAAATATGGACTCTCAAAAAAGGATAAGGYAGACAGATAAGATATATTGAAGAATATTAAATACCACTAAATATTTGTATATTGTACTGTCAATAACCATAAGCAGTCTTAAGCATCTAAAGTGTCCATAATAAAATAAATTCTTTATCTTCTCAGTAAAGTATTTTTCCAAATCTAATGATTTAGTCAAACAAGACTGGAACAGAAAACAACCTCAATAGCTACTTTGTATTTACAAACTGACAGCTCTTTCTTGTGGTTATAGTATTCCATTAATATTCTAACAAACATGACATTATTGCATTAAATCAATACTTGCATACTACTACAAATATGAAAAAAATTCTTTTCTTTAACATTTTAATGTATACAACTTGATATAATTTTGTTGAATTTGAATAAATCACATTATATTTTTTTGGCCTTCAAGGAATCAACATTTGTCAGTCTCATGAAAGATATATAAAATATTCAATCAAATTGTTCTATATTGTTCCATGTCATTCTATCTCATAATTGTAGACTTTCAGGAGACTTGGGATATGAATTTACAAAATAGTAGCTTCCTTTGATGTTCTCTTAAAGAATGTGTAGGGAATCAATATGACCTTTAGAACCGCAAAGGAAATTAAAATACAAGAGTTACCCACAGGTTTGTATGGGGAGCTTAAAAAACATAAACAAATCACTCTTGGCTGATATTGGAATAGCAATGAAAAGACATTCTGAGAACTTAATATTTTTAGATTAAAGATATATAAAGAACTACCTATTATACTAAATTAGACCTGCTGCAGTAATTTTAAGCATCACGTTGTTTACTTTTGTATTTATCTCAGTTATGCTCAGAATTTTATCAAATTTAATGCATTTTGAGAAGAGCTTAGTTCTATTAACATTTTTTGTCCAGAAGTTTTCGGATGATCKAGTAATTTCTATTATGTGTAAAATTTMGATTTTTCCACATCGATCGTTGCCTGAATACATTTGCGGTAATGATGGAACGATAATATCTATATTTTGAATTTGCATCAACGAACAGAATTGTAAAATCAAATTTCTTAACCATTAACTATAAAGTGAATATAGTTTAAAGTTTTTTTGTTCTGACTTGTTTGCACAGATCAGCCTCACGGCATCGCTAACCAGACATGTGGATATCACACGATAGGAGAACAACGGGTAATTTAGAAAGCCATTTCAATGCTACATCCGGAAAACCATTCCGCAGCACATCGAACATTCCATCGTGCAGTGAAATATACAAGTTTGAAATGGACAAGAATCATGTTTACAGAATTTGAAAGGACTCTATGAGATGCGAACGTTATACAAAGCCCATCTACATGCAAACGTAATCCAGTATTTTGTCTAACAAAACATAGAGGTTTAGAAAATATTCTGAGAAGTCCAACKATTGCAGTTTTTCAAAGTTAGAAAAGCAGCTATTAATATTACAAACGAAGGAGGATAGATTTCGTGTGGGAACATCCCGGGAAATGCATGAATTTTGTACTAAACAGGTAAAGTTCATTCATTGTGAAAATCAAAATTRTGTTGTCGACTCTTCGCATTGATCCTTCGTGTTTTGTTATCTTTTTAGAATTTTTAAAGCCCATGCAAAGATCACTGCAAAGTATAAGAATGAATCTACTAAAGCAGGAGTCCAGCACTTCAAGTATACAAGCGTCTCCTCGGTGAGCACGATACGTTACGTGTTATATCTATCGGCCAACCTTGTAAACCAAAATCGTGGCCGTAGCTACATCATGGCTGTTAGACAACAATAGCAATCAGGTACCAAATACCACACAGAGCAATTTTCCTTCCAAGTCTATCCTTATATTAGCAATCAGTTGCTGTTTTACAATCGTGTAGAAACATTCTCGTTGAATGATATGAGGTCTATGAATGTCTTACGCTGGATTCTATTGCATACACAAACATCGTTTCCGAGATCTTCATATTGAAAAGATCCTTATTTTGAAGGAAATTTCCAGTTCTTGAGGTGACTAAATAGTTGTTTATATGTTATATACTCGAAATACACTTAAATAACTACGGTTTATTTGCTAGATTGAGCGGGGCGTGAAGCAAGTAGTCGCCATAGCCCTTCTTGTACCTTTCACACCTTTCATGTGCATCCATCGCTAGTTCCACGCGACTAGAGCATGAAGATCATGTCGAAGGCATTTACTCAGACGAGTACAGATCCAAGAAGGAATATACAACTACTATAAGGCTGTTATAATACACCCCAGCCAGGATCCAATAGTCATTGTGATCGACTCACCCTCACTACATCAGCATCACGATCTTCCATATGCGTTGGCAAGCCTTCCAGTCTATGTCGACTTACTTCAAGCAAGTCAGTGGACGGCCGATCAAGCGGATGCTTGACGTCGATTTCCACAGACATATTCTCCTCTTTTTAATGTCTCTTCTCTGATTTTGARGCTGGCGATTCACTAAGCACGAGAACTTCGAAGGCAGCTCAGTTATCAGACGGTTTCGGTGAGACGCCCAAAACTGGGCACGACTTGATATTCCATCCGATTCTTTTCGTAGAAGTATTTATGAAAGACGAGCCAATCAGAAGCGACGATCCAAAGCATTAATGAGTAGCACGCATGGCTAGCTTTCTCCGAGGATTTTTAATGTATAAATTTTTAAATCAGGTGTTCTTGAAAAAAATTAGAAATTTAATTTATGAAAATCTGAATATTACCATTAAATTGTAAACTTTGTATTCAGTTTTGCTCAATGTAAGTCAAGATACTATATTTGCGCATTGTTGAATTCTGATTATGCCCCGGAATAATGGACTTTAATAGACTTTTAATTTGCCTTTTGAAAACCTCAAAACATTAATTCCTCTAAAGAAACGCCTATAAGCTATGCAGTGTAGAATCAGCGATAGCTTTTATTGTGGAACCAGTAGCKTTGCGTGACGGAGCCCAAAATACATCGTTGTTGATCTTACTAGGGGCGTGCGCAGGCCGATTTCGTGAGGGGTGGGGRGCTCCAGCTGGGGCTCCCAACTGTTGCACTTAAAATCTCGGGGAGCCCCTGGAAAAGTTAACCTGGAAAAGTTTGATGGACAAGATCAAGCTGTTGTCATGGCAACTGATCATGTTATAATCTCCACGCAACTATAGCCATCTGAAACTATACCGTCATGTTCCTTGATTTGACGATTAGTTCATAGAATATTTCTCCGCCAGGTCATGAGATGGCACTAAGCCATGAACTGAAGCCAAGAATCGCCGATATTGATCTCGCGGACGGAAATAACGGTATAACRTGAACAGTACTTTGAAGATATGCCATTCTCTTTGGGATTTCGCACAAAAAACGAGACCAATAGTTTGAAGAAACCCTTCTTGCTGAGTTTTGTGCAAGAACTTGGTTTTCWGCTGGTTCAGAGTGTCGAGTGCGTACCGGCAAAGTTGACCAAGTGGTTGAATCAAACGACCTGTTTCTTAARGTGTTTCCTGGAATATGTCTGGCAGGTGCACCAGGTCCGTATTTATTTTCAATTTACTGTCAACCAATAACAACTAAGTCAGCTATCAATTATTGTTAAGTCCATCACTATATTATGCGTTGATTTTCTTCTTTTTAAATGTAATATTCTCGGAATATTTCAGGAATGTGAGGGATTGGTAAACTGTGGATTCTAAGAGTGTTAACTATCATCTTTATTCCAGAGTCCCTTCAAGGTTTCGAATCAGCCGAGTTCAAATTGACTGATAAATGGTACTTGTACGTCAACCGCAAAAATGACAAAATCGATGATAAAGAGTAATTGGCACTTAACAATCAAATGCTTCTAGAAAAGAGCAAAACCTACCAGGATAATATAAGCATTGCAAAAATAATYTTTTGTGAATATTTTCAGTTTTCCTTATATTCTTTCAGCTCTTTCAGCTCAGTTCTCATACGTATTGTGCAACCAACCCAGTGACCCATATGTGCGGCCATTGGTCTTGTCGCAGGCTTTCTGTAGTTGTCTGACTTGYTCATTCGGCCAATCAAATGCGTCGTTTCAAGTCGAGAAACAGGTGGCAAATAATGTTGTAGCAGCGACGTCAAAATAATACCAAACCCATGCACATTACTGTTCAAATGCTACACAAATTATTTATTATTCTAGCGAGGACTTCTTATAATATATTGGATTTTCTCTTTTCTACATTGTATTTTGTCATCATGCCATGGATGTTTGGAAATATCATGGAGAATGTCTTGTCCAGGTCGCGAACTAATGTCAATGGTAAGCGTCGAGTGATTCCTTTTGTGCTCATTTTGTTCACAGGCAGCTATTTAATTCCAATAATGATTCTTATAAAATATACCATGGATTTCCAAAAATTAATGTTCACCTGTAKACTCCATGCAACGATAGTATTCGAGCATTCATTAGTGAGCCTTATTCAGCTCGATATGCAGAATTTAACTAGGGCAAGCATTAGATAATAATAACTGCTAAAACAACTCAATTTTGAAAAGAGAACGTAAACAAGAGAGAATCTTAATAATTTATATTCTGGTCGCCATTCAAGCAAGGATATCATGACTACGTATCATATGCAGCTCAGCAAAAACCAATCCACACCAATGAAACTGTGAATGCTTCCAGTTTGATATAACTGGAAAAGGCTTACAGTGCCATACAACGTTGGTAGTTTTTAAGATCAGTTCTGAAAAGGTGTATAAGCTAAAATGGCCTGCATGTCTTGAGGTGACGAACATATATCGACTGTAATGATGAAGAGGAAAATGTATRGATAAAACAATTTCCCGGAAATCTTCGCTAAACGAMWCTGAGCAGAATCTGAGCTGCCGAGTGTCATCAATTTAATTACATTAAGCGCATAAATACATGCACTCTACGGACTGGAATATTTTTTAATACAAATATCACTTAATTAGTTTTGTGTTTACTTTCAAAATTAATGATCTCCTTTGGCCTCTTTACAAGCCGCATTCGTGCGTTGCTTGTTTCACTGCCGGGATTCCTGTATCCCCAGCCCCAGTGCATTCCTCCTCAATTACTCATGGCTGGGTGAAAATGACTTTTCCTTGCCTCACTTCCAGAAATAGCAAAAAAATCATTCCTGTCTTGAGACCAAGTGATAACGTTTGCTTTTCGTGACAATATACGTCACATAAGATTAAAACGTGTTGCGTGACGTGAATCCGAGTTTCCCTGGTAACTATCGGAAGTAAAACTTGATAGTAACAGATGTTCGAGTTCGATATCCACGTATCAACCGGAAGTCAATATCATTCATCTGAGAACGCTGGTGGTGATGATCGATTTCAGTTTAATCAACTAATGTTTTGTATTCCGCTGTTTYWTYCACTGAAAACTCGCGAAAAGCGTCTAAAAACGTTCAAAATCACTCTATAAACAAGTGCTTTTCGTGATGAGTCTTGCTAAGGTGAAACGAAGGAACAAAAAGATCGTGACACATGGTGTCAACATGGTGGACGTGAAGCGTTATTCGCTGCCTGTACCACAGCCCATACAATATCCCGGTAAGTTCACATTTACCCAGGTGTTCAACTGCAATGTTGTGACAACCTAACTCTTTATGATTCCATCAAAYCTTCTGTCGAARAACAATAATTTTTGGGAATTAATATGATAAACAACGACGGATGAGTCATATACGCCTATAGGGTCCAACAATCATTCAAATGCCAAGCGCCGGAATGGTCCTTTTTGTTTGGTGCTTTTGACTGCRAGAATAAAGCAGTAAACACAGTTCTTTTTTGTTTATTTTTGTTGGGAAGAAAAGTTAAAAAAAMCTGATTTAATGAAGCTGAACTTTAGCATCATATCAACTTTAAAACGACTAAAAACAGTATACATCGCCATTTTCCATTTATAAATTGCCACGCTCACTACTCCATTTCTTTCATTCTAGTAGATKCTTATAAGTCAATGTTTGACGCAATGAAACTCACTAGTTGAGAAATTGAAGACGGAATTAGTAAAGCCATGGAACAGCGACGATTGACAAGCGTTTTATRCAGACACGGAAATAAAAGGGAGGATAACAAAAATGTACAATTCTCATTTAATGAACTATTTCTAAAAACAGACACGTTGTCAAGTGCTTAGAAAAAGTTGGCTACTCATACAAAAAGATTGCTGCAAAAATAGACATAACAGGATTTAGCCCCAATAGACGCAGATCATATTGGCGGTTTAATAATGCGAAAATCCTCTTTATCACATCGACCGCAACAACGCAGGACACCAAACGCTCGCTGCATGCTCTTCCTCGCGACACAAAATCCAGTGAATACTCAACAGCATATTTTTTCTTATCAATTTATATAAAAACAGCGATTCGTCTAGTATATTATAAATCTCTAATAATTTGATATAAGGTAGTCTAGATAAACCTCAAAATAAAACTAGACAGATGTTTAYATGACATAAATATTTGAAGGAATATGAAGGGTTGCAACGCTGATATTATTTCAAATTAGTTTATTTTACTCATTTTATACACGGTATTATCTATTATTTCAATGGTGTTTCCAATGATATAATTCTAATAACAGAGTGTGTTTAATTGTATKCATTTATCAATGTTTCAATGTGTTTGCATTTATTCATTTATTTGCCTGTTCACATCTATCTTTTTATGTAATTCGCGCGCGCTGCATGCTGGTTAATTCAAGCATATTTTGTCACGTGACCAAGGCCTTCCTCTGCTGCTTCCCTCTAGCGAACGTAAACAGTTGATGAAGTCCAACCTCACCCACTGAATGCCGGAAATTTCCTCCTTTTTCTCTAGAACCATTACTCCGAACGAGACCACTTAGTATGGCGGATCCTCCCGAATCTTCTTTGCCTCCTATGGTATTAGAGAAGCTACGTGAACTCAACACGGAGCTTGCTGAAGGTGAGATGATCTTTCGAGATTTTGGCTGTCACAGTTGACATCCTAGATAATATTTCACATTTTGGATTGGGAAACAGTCCAAAACCRCCAAGCTTTTCATTGTYCTTGTTATTTCAAATGATTTATGAAAGCTGAAGCTATTCGCTTAAGGTTTGGGTGTGAAAGAGTCATAACTCATCTCATCAGCATATTCATGATCAATTCAATCGTGCGATTATTTTAAATTCGTACATCTTGTTCAGTTTCTGTTGATCTTGCATAGCTTTCGCTTTCTTATTTTGACTGAGTACWTCACGTATATGYATATTGTTTAGCATTTTGTAGGGTTTCTTGCGAATTACTTGATTAAAATAGAAAATACCGCATTAAAAATCCATGAGTACAGAATCAACCATACTTCGTGATCTCTTGTTGGAATGGCGAGGTTGTTGTGACTTTTGATATTGTGCGAAACTCAAGATCGCTTGCTATAAATTTTGGATATACGCACCTTGCTTTCCCCACAGCGGGATATCTCAGAAAATTCGTAGTTTCAAGCTTCGTGTGTACCCCAGACAGTGCACACATTGTTGCGTTTTATCTGACGAAAATGGAGGCTCTGYTTTAAAATACTAACATACTGTAAGTTTTATACATTATTGGAACCTACCCAGTGCATCCAATGATACCTCCAAAGGCTGATTTTCAACAACCACTTGATTTTGGTTCTTATAATTGATGAATCTATGCTTGTGAACGATGGTCTGTTTTTGTAAATATGTAAAGAGCTAATCCAAATATTTTCGTAATATTCCAGCTCTCTACTTGTGTTGGTATTTGTTCTAACCACCACCGTGTAATCAGATTGCCTTAGTGTTGGTTTTCGGAGTTAAAAGCCTTGAAATATGATGGAAACTTGTGATGGAAACAGATGGAAACTTCTGTGATCTTAAAATGCAGCTTTATTCGACTTCTTGTTTTGCATCTTATGCAACAATCGATTCTTAATTCCATTTTTACAGTGCTTTGATAATTCTAACAACAATGTTATTGTTTTTCTGTACTCGTGATTTTACAGTTTGATTCATCACCTTTTCCCATCTTTTTTTAATAAACTGAAAAAAACTTGGTAAACTTGTATCTAAAATATTATATTTCTAACAAGACATTTGTGCTTTAGTATTTATATAACCCATGTAGAAGTCATTTGAATAAATTCTGAGTTGAGAAATTGAAGAACAGCGCTGATTGACAAGCATTTTATAGAGACAGCTACCATATAAAATTAGATCAATATATAAAGTTGCTGACATTTTAGAGTTAAACCTTTAATTTGTCATCACACTGCAAAATCTAAATCTAAATAAGCATGATTAAAGAATTTTATTGATTATTAATGATATTGTATTCAGTGAAAAAAGAGCAGAAAAATCTCAGAAAATTACCCATGCTGCACCATGATCTATATTTATACCAGTCACAATTTTTGCACATGACTGTATCATGTAGAATGTACATTGTACTAAGTCCTACTTGGTTGTTCAGAATGTATAAGGGAGGTAGGACAGCGAAATGTTGATATTTAGCTATATTTATGAAGTTAAATGTTCAGATGTTTTCTTTTTAAGGTGATATAACTCAAAAAGGTTATGAGAAAAAGAAATCTCGTCTTTTGGCTCCCTATGTTCAGACACGAGGTAAGAAAATATAATATTTTAGTAATATGACCAACATAAAATATTAAACATAAAAGTGCAGATATAAGCTTCATTTTATCACAAACTATTGGATTTGTAAGCTTATTATTCAAAGGTTACATTAATTTATGTTCATCATCAAAATGTCAAATCTATGCCAAATATGAATTGTTATTCATTTCAGAGACAAAAGTGGTTTCCAAGACATCAATAACACAATCTGGTCCAATAACAACTGAGCAATATCATAATGCCAGTAAGTGTGTATGTTGTTGAGAGACTCTGATATCTTTTGTTACTCATTTTCCAACTCCACTTGTTGCCAGCTGAGCTTAAATGAAAGAATGTAATATTGTTAATCAATTCCAGTGTGAAGGCTTTTCTTGCAAATTTTTAATATATTTCTGTCGGCTGTCGGTGTTCTGGAACAAGACTGTCACTAYTTTTTAATCAATTTTGGAGCAATGTCGTTTGTAGCCAAAAACACCTTGGAGGACCTTGTTGTTTCTCTATGTTTCAGGGYATTGAGATGATATAATATTTTATGGGTGACTCACATATCAAGTACTTTACATTGTATGACAAATTGACTGACTGACCCCATTCATGAACACCTTGCTTGCATGATATAATATTGAAAATGATTGCTATAGTTTTAGTGTAGTGTGATTAACAAAAGAAATGTCATACCAAAATGAGGTGAATGGAAATTTGAATGACATTGTAGTGTAATAAAATTTATCTAATGATGGAATGGTTTTGACTTTATCTTTTTGTTGAGCAAATGTATTTCTATCTCTTTCATGTCAATCGCCCATCCATCTATTCTACCATTCTCATTCGTTCATTTATTCATTCATTCATTTATATGTATTATAAGGCGTATAGTATTTTTTTATTGACACAAACTCATGTGTAGTAATCACAGTATGTTTCACTGTCAAGCCTTTAACTCTTTYACATCAATGTATTGTAGTACATATACAAGCTGCACTAGTGGCACAAAACAGAACCAARAGTTCTGATGTCCCATCACCTTACAAGAGGCAGTCCATGAGACATGCCAATCGTAAYTCATCTGACAATGGAACTCCACAAACACAGGTTTATCACCACAGAACAGGTACTAAACATGACATAATAAAGCATTACTTCTGCTTGCATACAGATGTTACTTATGTGGTTTTACTTTTTTGTGTAGTATAATAGCCTYCAAACTGTATTCTGAATCATCATGTTGTATGTTTTTCTTTGTTGTAAATTCAACTAGGTGTTTTACTTTGGCTTCCTCGAGTTTGTACTTGGGGGCAGATTTGCTGAAAAACAATGTAAATTAAAAGTAAAATAATATTTTTTCTATTTATCAGATTCAGTGTCATCACAAGACTCTTTTAACTTACCGGTTGCTGAYTACACGCCTCCTCCATCCCCTCATGTTGACAAGCCCTACACAGARGACTTCCCTGCCCCACCCCCAGAAATCAGTAATGTACAATATACACAGAGCACATCAGGAGGGATAACACCACCACCGGATGTCACAAGAAAGACCTCYGATACAAAAGCACCAACTAGAGTGGCTCATGTCCAGTCATTGAGAATTGCAGATGAGAATACTGAGGGCTCAGGTAAACATGTAGATAGTGTACTAGAGCGGATTTCGTATGAGTGGGACACCATTACCGCATGGTTACCACACAGTTACCGGACCTGGCCTGCAAAATTTTGGTGAACCAATGGGGCACTAGAATTTGGTTACAGTACGATTACGGTCACAGTACAGTACCGTCAGATTCCCACTCATAAGAAATCCGCTCTATTCTGAACTCTTCCTTGTTTACAATCAATATGTTATCAAAAACATCTAGATAACCACAACACAACACTTTTTTTTTATTGTTTTTGCAAGAATGTTCAACATCAAGTTGGAGAATTTCATATCCATGCAGATTTACTGTGAATTGAATTTGCTTCCCAGAAGTTTTGAAACCATTTATAATGACTTTATTGTTGTCTTGATGTTGTTTTTCATCTGGACAACCTATACAATGTTGATGTTAACTTTTMATTTCATCATATATTTTGCAGTTGCAACAAGTAGAGTTTCATCAAAGATCCAGCAACTTTTAAATACTTTAAAAGTAAGTTTTATATTATGTTATAAAGGAAAATATATTTAATGTATAATACTACAAGAAATTGTCATAAAAGGCTTTATATAATAAAGTGTTATTTTTTAATAAGACCATAGTTTTAATGAGATTATTATTRTTAACATTTTACAACAGAGACCAAAGAAAAAACCCTTAGAAAACTTTTATAAAGAGGATGATGCTGAGCTCTTAGAAGGTAAAATATCATCAGTAKAAAATTTAAAACCGTAAACATTCACTGATATTCCATATCTAATAATTTAACCACATTTTCTCACAGACATTCTCAGTCTCAGACATCAGCTTTTTTTAATCTGTTAATAATTGAATTTATTCTAGCCACAAAAGCAGACCCMAATGCTCCAAAGCCAGAGGGCCAGGTGTTAAAACCAGTAATAGGGGAACAGCTTCAGGTATGATGACTTTTATGATGTATTKTGATGTAGAATACTTGCACCAAACTGACGAACAATGGAGCGATTTAGTATTATTCAAAGGAATTAGAATTAAGATAGTTTGTGATTGGAAAGAAAATATTTATAATGGCAGTGAGAATAATGTCAATGATTTCTATGAAAATGTTTTTGATTTTGGCAGGTTAGGATACATTTTGCGGTGTAAACAACCACAAAAATGMCTGTTATGGGATTCATGTTCTTTCATATAGCTGGTTTATTTAACCATTGTTATCCTGGCATTATTAATTTTGCTGTTCAACCTCATATACTTTGAATTATCAAAGACCATTTAAATGATTCGTGATTGTGGTTTGTAGGTCAACCCMAAAGATGTTCTACGATGTTTAGAAGAAGCAGTCATGAATTTTGGTRCCAAGTCTGTTAAACAACCATGTTGCAGTGTGATTGACAGCCATGGAAAGACGTCAGCTGTACTGACYTATGGTAAGGAAAACCAGATTACTTCTTGGTGTATGTTTTGCTATATATTGTTGGTTATATTATGATCATGGGTGTGTACAGATAATACAGGTTTTTTAAACTTCATGGAATAGCTTTAACAAGGAGAGTGGTCCAACCCATGTTATTAATTGTTAATAAATCTAACACCCAAAATTTTGCTTTTCAGTTTCCTTTATTAGTGGATAATAGATGCTCATYATGATAGTATAATGAATGTGTTTATCAGTATTAGTGATGGTTATATTAATATATTGTTTTTTCATAGGTAAACTCATGTCAAGGTCTATCAAAGTAGCTTATGCTCTTTTGAATAAAGTAGGAAGTCATAAGGAAGGGACATCAATCATGGCAGGCGATAGGGTAAGAACTGTTGCTGATGATTATTCGTCGTTATTCTGGAAATACACACAGTATATTCTAGAGTAGGATAAATACAACTTTTCTATTCTGGGATTAAACGAGATACCTGCAATGCTYTATTGAGAAACACACAAAATATGGCACAGCCAAAACATTTGAGAAGCACTAGAGACCCACTATTAAACAACATTGGATACTTTTTGTACTTCTCAACCCCAAGGGTCTCTCTATGTGCCTTATAACTTAGTAAAGCACAGCAAGAAAGCTCTTTGTCCTTACAAGGTGAAGTGTGTATCCTCTGTGCTCACAAAGAATAATTGCATGTAAGAATKTACTCAAAATATTCTCAGCAAAAGTCTAATTGGAGTGCTATTGTGTTTAGGTTGCACTGGTTTATCAAGTGGATGACCCRTTAGGTTTCATGACTAGTTTTTATGGCTGCMTGCTGGCTGGGGTCATTCCTGTTCCTATTGAACCTCCTCCTTCAAAAGATGTAAGTCCAGTTGACAATAWCAMGACRCTCTGTCMAAAAACAAACATTATCATTTAGTGGCCTGATGAAGCAATTATAAGACAATTATAATATGACAGCCAACCAATGGTTCATTTTTTCCCWTGTAGTATCCAGGATGTCAGCAAATTGGTTTTCTGCTGGGCAGTTGTGGAGTATCTTGGGCTTTGACAACAGAAGGCTGTCAAAAGAGTCTTCCTAAAGATGACACAGGACATGTTTGTCACTTCAAAGGTATTTATAAAAAAAAAACTAAAACAATCTTCCACCATTAGCAGATTTATTGACTTCAATTTTGGAAATTCATCAGGMTGGCCTAAACTACAGTGGTTTATTACTGAAAATTTGAGTAGACCAACACCAAAAGATTGGCAACCACCTACAAATCTAGAYAGAAGCTCACCAGCATACATTGAGGTAAAATACTAACTATATATTAAAGTACTGTTATTGGTAGAATGACTTTACGTGTGAAAGAGATTGGTCAAACTATTTCATTGTCCTTTCATACTTTGCCCTGTTCTACCYCTTCCTGGTAAGCCTATGGTAATTGAGGTTTCATTTGATTGACAGTCTGTGCTTGGTAAAGATGGTATTGTACTTGGTGTGACAATAACTAGGATGAGTATGGCTCTACATAGCCAGACATTAACCCAAGCATGTGATTATAGTGAAGGTATTATGTCGTAGACCATGGATACCATTCTAAAAATGATTATAGTTTAAATTCCATATGTTGTTTATTGCCTTAAGTCAAATTGCAGTCCACTTGAATTTGTTCATGATCACAATAATTTCCAATAGGGGAGGTCATGGTGAGTGTTTTGGATCCAAAGAGAGAAGTAGGATTGTGGCATTCTGTTATGGCTGTAAGTATTATCATYACAACAGTGATATATTTACAGCTGGTTTATCATGTTCATTTTTCCTTTCAGTCTGTGTTAAATGGAATGCATGTTGTGTATGTACCACCATCAGTACTCAAAAACTCTCCTGCAATGTGGCTTCAAATGGTCACAAAATATAGAGGTAATAACACAATAAGAATATAATTACTACTAATAACAATGTGTACTGCTCATCAATATTTCTGATATTTTTTTTATTTAGTTGTTTACCTATGAATGTACTAATATTTTTGTAATATATTCAATAACTTTTAATGATTCATCAAAGTGTCATGCACACATCTTTCCATACTGTTCCAGAGACTCAGTAATCAAATTTTGTAACCTAACAGTTTCCATATTTTTCTTGCAGCAACCTGTGCTTTAGTGAGCTCACGTGATTTGCACTGGTCTTTACATGCCAGCAAGGAAATCAAGGATATCAATTTATCTTCAATTCGAATGTTACTTCTGGCAGACAGAGCAAATCCTTGTAAGAAATCACAGCAATTTTTGTTCATCATTTCACTTATTCGTTTAATTGCATTTGAATTTATTCTTTTTTTGTTCATCCCTTCTGTCTTTCATTCATTCATATATTTATAAAATTTCCTCTTCCCTTCCGTTATCCATTTTGTTCATTAAATGTATACTGAGTTTCTTCATCATTTATTTATTTTTTATTCATTGYTTTTCAACCATTCATTGCTCTTAGGGTCCTTGTCAGCTTGTGATGCATTCCTGAATGCATTTGAGAGCAAAGGTTTAATCCCAGAGTCACTTTGTCCWTGTGCAAGTTCTTCAGAGACAATGACAGTATCTTTACGAAGGTATGGAGAATAATAATTTGATTTTCAAGCACTTTATGGTGTATCTTATTTGTATAAGGTCTGAATGACAACCAAGGAATAATGATATATTCTGGTTTCTGTCCCTTGCATTTATAATCTTTTTAAGTGCCTGGAATGTTGATTTTATATTGTTGTCTGACAAGACTGAAGTTCATGACATCTTCATTTCATTTTAGGCCTGGCAAGCCTGGATCAACAGCTACTGGTAGAGGAGTGTTATCTTTGTCAGGACTGAGTCATGGAGTTGTACGTGTAGATAAAGAAGGGTCTTTAACATCACTGACTCTGCAAGACTGTGGTACTGTGTTACCTGGAGGTATATACCAGTTACAGGGGACCTGTTTTTAWCTACAGTATACAATACAGATAAATTTGTTTGTGTTTTCACAGCCAAGATAGCTGTCATCAAACTGGATGGATCTCCTTGTCTGTGTAGAAGTGATGAAGTTGGTGAGCTGTGTATATCAAGTGGTTCGACAGGCAGTGCATACTGGGGACTGGCTGGCAAAACAAACCACACTTATAAGGTACAMATTTTCMCAATAATTATTAATGTATAACATTGTACTCATTGTTAAACATGGTGTTTTTGTGTTCTTTAATGATTCTTGTAGGTCCAACCTCATAATGAAGATGGCATTCCTATTGATCCTTACATGCAGCATGGAGACTTTGTCAGGACTGGTCTTCTTGGCTTCATGGGCCCAGTAAGTACCCTTCCCCTCCCCTCATAGTATCCATTTTCCAACCAGGGTGATCTGGTTAAATCATACAAAAATCACTGCATGCCACCCCACCCCAAGTCAGTATATCAACCAGTTTAATTTTGTTACTAGGGTGGTCTAGTGTTTGTATGTGGTACTGTTGATGGTCTACTAAAGGTCAGCTCAAGAAGACACAACTGTGATGACCTCAAAGCTACCATTCTTGCTGTGGATCCCATCAAGTTTGTATACAGAGGACGCATTGCKATCTTCTCTTTTAATGTCCTCAAAGATGAGAGGATTGTTGTTGTTGCTGAGCAAAGACCAAACTGTACTGAAGAAGAAGTAAGTGTGTTTAAATTATTTCTTACTTAATGTTTTGTAAATATTCCCAGTTGTATCRAAAAAGCCTGAATGAGTGCTACTTGTTGCTGTGGTGATAATGATTAAAATTATGATTATGATTATGATGGCAATGTATACCATCATATACACACCCATACAGATGCATTTTAAGTCTCTCCAGTAAAATGTCCAAATATTCTTCATAAAAAGTGACATTAACATCAGTGTGTGATAATAGGGMCATTTTCTGACATGTTATCACTTTAGTGTGAGTAAGAATGAGGTTTTGTTGTTCACTGTAGTACGTTTGTATCTTTTGTAGAGCTTCCAGTGGATGAGTCATGTCCTCCCAGCAGTTGATAGTATCCACAATGTAAGTACCCCTTTACTTCATGCATTATACCTACTTCAATGTCTTGCTGTGTATTAACAAGACTTCTGTGCCTGTAGGTTGGTATTTATTGCCTTTGTTTGGTGTCACCTGGTGGACTTCCTAAGGTWAATTGAGGATATTGTATTGTTGATTAAGTTATATGGTTATGATTCTCTGTATATTTTTGTATTGTAAGACCACTACTGTAATTGAAATACTTGTTGAATGGTTTTCAGACAACAKCAGGTGGTGTACACATCCATGAGACAATGCAGAAATTCCTTGAAGGTTCTCTTCATCCAGTGAACATCCTAATGTGTCCTCAYACATGTGTWACTAAYCTACCACAACCYAGACAGAAACACCCAGGTAAGTCATTGCACAGACGTCCATAGTGCCCTTATGTCTCAAATATCTCTAGAAAAGGGTTTAATTCAGTGAGTTAGAAAGTAGTGATATTGGTTTGTGCAATGTTACTTACGTATCGAGGACTGGGAGTTTTGCGTTCGTTAGGGTTCAAGGAAAAGTGGAGGAAATAGGTAATTGAGAGAAAGAAAGAAATATGAACGAAAGGGAATTTAGAAGGAAGAACGCTTGGGTGGGAAGGAAGCGAATGTGATAAATAAGAAAAAAATAATGGAAGGAAGAAATGAAAAGGGAAGGAGGTTTTTGAAGTTATGATTAATTTAGAGTTTTTTTGTACACAGAACCTGGTCCTGCTGCGACTATGGTGGGTAATATYGTCATGGGGACACGTATTGGTGGTGCTGCAGGTAGAGAGATTGCTGATATGGGTGAAGAGAAAGACTTAGCAAGAAAGGTGAGGCGTATTTCAATTGCATATAACGTAGGTGAATAAATTCTCTTTATTTTTTTATATGATATGTTGGTTTATGATTCACTGACTGTGCGGTTGGCGGGTTAACCCAGTTGAGTATATTTGATTCACGGGATGAAGGACTGACTGATGGATTGACTAAAAGACTGATTAAATGATTGTTTGACTGATTATTGGTTGAAATCGTTCTTTATTTCAGTACCAGTTTTTGTCAGAGATATTGAAATGGCGGGCACAAGCTACGCCTGATCACGTGCTATACACTGCTCTCAATTCAAAGGTGAGTAAAACCATAGTTAATCTATTAACTATGGTAAAACTCAATGTTATAACAATATCATAATTCCGTGTGAAAAATATATAAATTTCTGAAACTCTCTACTAAATCGATTCCAATAATTTTAATTTACTTTGCCTTGCTGTTTTTACCAGGGAGCTGTATCGACWACGTTGTCCGTTATTCAACTACATAAACGAGCTGAACGTATTGCTCAGTTTGCTCTGGAGTGTGGAAAACTTACAAGTGGTGACACTGTAGCCTTACTCTACCCCCCTGGTGAGTAATAGTGATATCTAATATGAAGTGGTTTGCTTTAAACCCCATACAAATAAGGAACTCACTGATAAACTTCCTCTTCTTTGGTTTAAAGTTTGTCCCATTCTAGATTTTCTTCATAGCGTTTGTACAGTTGGAAGGAAGGATGAAAATAGAAAGGGAAGGGACGGAGTGGATCCCTCCTCCCAAACTTCCCTCCGTAACCCCCTCACAGTATTCCCGTGCTGATACGCTGGTTATCTTATTCATAAACTTTTGGTTTTTAAGAACTTCACTAATATTATTGTTGTTAATTTGTTCTACAGGTGCAGATTTTATAGCAGCTGTGTTTGGTTGTATGTATGCTGGTAAGTCMACATTACTGATATGTTAAGTTATTAACCATGCCAATGTCTAAGGTSCCATGTTGTGTTCATAGGTTTAATCCCAGTCCCTGTACGACCACCTCACGCCAACAATATCTCCTCCACCCTTCCGACGGTGAAGATGGTAACCGACGTTAGCAAAGCGCGTGCTGTACTCACATTAAATTCTATCGCGAAACTATTTCGAACTAAAGAGGCCCTCACTGTGGTTGATAATAAGTCATGGCCACCTATTCTATCGACTGATGATATTCCAAAGAAGAAGTTGACTAGTCAATACCGCTGGCCGACGCCTGAGATGATCGCTTATCTAGATTTTAGTGTGTCAACAACAGGGATGTTATCTGGAGTGAAGGTACTACTTTGTTGTGGCTCAGTTCTTGACTATTTGGTGTAAATTGTTTCCTTTCTTGGTATAAATTGTTTCGTTTCTTGGTATAAATTGTTTCGTTTCTTGGTATAAATTGTTTCGTTTCTTGGTATAAATTGTTTCGTTTCTTGGTATAAATTGTTTCGTTTCTTGGTATAAATTGTTTCGTTTCAGTTTTTTTATTTCCTTTCCTATTCAGTTCTCTTTCATCCTTTTGTTTGTCTTTTTTTATCGATTTGTGTTTCTCACTTGTTTATTTGCTTTCTATTTTTACTGCTGTCTGTATTGTATGGCGAATTGACTCATTTTATTTTATTTCAGATGTCTCATGCGTCGGTCACTGCGTTGTGTCGGTCAATGAAGCTAGCATGTGAACTCTACCCGTCCCGAGATATCGCTATCTGCTTAGACCCTTACTGTGGCTTGGGCTTTGCATTATGGTGTTTGATTGGGTAAGAATTGRYCAATAACGTTCCTAATACAGTCATATTTCTAATAGTCTTGTATTTCAGTGTGTACTCCGGACATCATACTATACTAATACCTCCAGGAGATCTCGAGACCAATCCCGCTCTTTGGCTATCGGCCGTGGCTCAGTACAAAGGTTGGTAACTATTTACTCTGTAAATGGATGTATTGTTTTATTGTTTCAACATTGACACGGTTGATTTATGTTTTTTTCAGTACGAGATACGTTTTGTTCATATCCTGTGATGGACTTGTGTACGAAAGGTCTTGGTCAAGCTATTCCTACACTAAAGGTAAACTATACAACAAGGGAAACGGAGTACATAAATGGAATACGTGAATGTTAAATAATGAGGATATTTTTTCACATTGCACCTATAGAAACGATCCRAATTCACTTTGTGTAGCGTTAAATCTTTGTCRCTCCATCAAAAATATGTTGTTACAAGATTACTCCGGCTGCATGTATACCTTCCGGRAAGTCATTGTATATTTCTCAATCGAGTCACCGCTTCTCTCAACATGACAYTTGTTTYTAGGCCAAAGGGATCAACTTGACGTGCGTTAGGAACTGTGTTGTTGTTGCTGAAGAAAGACCACGAATCACACTAACCACAGCTTTCTGTCATTTGTTCTCCGGTCTTGGTTTATCTGCACGGGCTGTTAGTACTTCGTTTGGTTGCAGAGTTAATGTAGCATTGTGTACACAGGTACTTCAATCAAGCTATCACTGATTGCTGTATGATAATAGACATATATTGTATTCACGATGATATAGAAATCATAATGATAAGGTAATAACCATAATGTATTCTATAGGGAGCATCGACTCCTGAAGCCTCCAGTGTKTACGTAGACACGAGGGCTTTGAGGAATGATAGAGTTACCATTGTCGAACGAGGAAGTCCAAACAGTGTCTGCTTATTGGAATCAGGAAAGGTACACACTCTTCCTTGTTATCTARATAATTGACACTTTCAAATTTGCCATCCAGTTGCTACATTCTTATGTAGTTGCTGCTGTCGTCATCGTCGCTGCTGTTGTTGGTGATGTTGTTATTGTCGTTGTTGTTGCTTTTGCCATGGTTGTCGTTGCTGCTGTTGTCGCCGTTGTTGTCTTGGGAACGACTGTAGATCGACTAAGTTTTAATTCATCGGGTTACATTTGTCAGATTTTGCCTGGCGTCAAAGTTGTCATCGCAAATCCAGAAACYCGTGGAATGTGTGCAGACTCTCATCTCGGCGAGATTTGGGTGAACAGTCCTCATAATGGCGCCGGCTATTACACCGCTGGWGATGATAAACAGTTAGACGAAAGGTTTAATGCTTATATGACCACCGGGGAACAAAACACGCCGTATGCACGTACCGGGTATCTTGGGTTTATTAAGAGAACAGACTTTACTCAAACCGATGGAGGTAAGATTGACACGACAGATCGTTGGATTTAACAACCTCGTTCCTAAGTCGAGGGAAAAAGGAAAGCAAGGRTATGGCTGTACAAAATCCATAGAATGGAAGAAAAGAATGAAAAAATGGAAATGAGAAAGAGATGAAAAAAGGTTTTTAAGAGAGTAGCATGTAACAGGCAATACAGTTTTCCTTTGATACACCCCTAACCCTTCGCGAAGGGATCAACRATGCAACCCTCCCTCCTTGCTCGTAAACGTATTTCTGCTTGATCTTGTTGGTAGCTTGTTTGTTGATAACCGTGTTTTKTTGTTTCTCAGCTCGACATGACGCTTTGTTTGTGGTGGGTTCCCTAGAAGAGACCATGATGCTTCGCGGTATGCGTTATCATCCAGTAGACATCGAAAATACSGTTATACGATGCCATAAACATATATGCGAATCGTAAGTAGTAATCTTTTGTTTTTAATCTGAAATCATGTAAACCCAAGCTTTAACGAGATATCACTGCAAACCTAAACTATCCGTGCAAGTGTTCGGAATAGTACTAATTATCATTGTCTGTTTATTAGCGCCGTGTTCACCTGGACWAATTTACTCGTGGTAGTGGTGGAATTAGACGCTGACGAAAGTCGAGCTTTAGACGTCGTCCCTCTTGTTACGTCATCGGTGCTTGCTGAACACCAGTTAATAGTGGGCGTGGTGGTAGTCGTTGACCCAGGGGTGGTACCYATAAACTCGCGAGGTGAAAAACAACGAATGCACTTGAGAGACGGCTTCTTGGCCGATCAATTGGACCCTATTTACGTTGCTTACAATATGTAGACTACGCAAGAAAATTAATAGAAAACAAATGATGGGAGAGGAGAGATAGTTGAAGAAAGACGTCGTCGAAAAAGACAATTTATCGAAAGAGAATTCGCAAGCGGAGAGACAGTTAAGAAATGAACAGTTAAGGCGTTGCTAAATTAATTTTTGAATAATTTGAAGGTCAAAGATACTAAAAATAAGACTTAATTTCCCATTTTATTATGATTGAGCGACGGCATTATTTGTTTTAAAATGTTGTTACGTCCGCTAGAATTTTACTAGTTTGTAAATAGAATAGACCGGCATTTTACCATTACTACAGGAATTTCATTTAAAKTTTAGTCCATTGCATATCAGTGAAGCTTGATTTCCACGAATGTTAATAGTCAWATATTTAAATAGAATCCCACAATAATTGAATTTGTTTTATTGCCTTGCTTCACTATTTTTCCGAGAAAGATATTTTTATTTCAATTGAAACTGTTCAACTTTCGCCKTACGCGATCAGTGCGCGTATCAAAACATGTGTAATCAGTAAACCTTGCTCTTGAAAGTGATTTCCAGGTYTATCCCACATGCGTTAACGCATGACAAAAGGCGAAAGTTGTACAATTTCAAGTACATGTTACAGTTTGCACGGTTGGCGGAAAAAGTAGTTAAAAAACATCACGAAAGCAAGTACATGAAACTAGGAGTCCTTCTCCGGTTCGAAACATGAACAGTTCTTCCTAAAACCGTGCAAACATCAACCAGCCATGATCAAGTTTTTATTGCCGTGTCATAAGTTATATTGTAGTACATATTGACCTTCGCGAGTTGTCGTGATGAACTAGATGTTATTTTTAGTTTCTGCTTGTAAAGCTACTAGTTGAGTTTGTAAAATTAAGTTTTGGTACAACCAAACTAGTTCTATTTTTAATGTGTAAATAATAAAAAATGAAAACAAGCCAGCGTTATCAATCCCTTTACTCTCCTTTTCTGTCTTCGTTAATGTATTCACGCATCTGCGAAGCCCTTGAACATTCTTTGGTGCGTCGGCGAGTGCGGCTTACCCGTATCCACCTAACTCGTAATGAAGCCAATTCTGTTTTTTTTTACATGAGCTCACATCTGCCATTGTCTCGTTTGTTACACACCAGCATGGCTGCCATATATTCTGTTCTTTGAATATTTTTCAAGAGTTTTGTGATCACGTGGCAGAAACATGAATTATATTATTTAGTACTGTATCGTAATTTTGAACAAATTATCTTTGATTTTTTCCATAAAAAGGGAAATTGACGCTATCACACTTGGTACACGTACGCGCCACGTTTGGTGTACCCGCCCAGTGTTTATTTACATTCTTAAGGGTTATATTTCCTATTTATCCTCTTCGTGCGCTTGTATCACTATAAGAGAGTATTCCGATTCTGGTGCTATCATGATTTCACATTTACGTGAACGAACTCGTAGAAACTTCAGATCGTTCTGTGGGTCAAGATCTCTGATTGCGCAACGAGCCATTTGCGCTAGGCCTGTACAGTTRGCGAGGTACTGCTGTGTAGTTGAGTTATCCATAGTGGATCGTATGACCACGCCCTCTGTATTGGTAACAATGGATCCTAATACACCAGGATGAGTGTCGATTCGTTTGATCACTCGTTCTACTTCATCGGAAGTGGCCATTGTATTTTTCTCTCTGATGAACTGAACTGAAAGAGAAATAATTATCTCATTAATCAGTTTTCATGTTATTTGTGGTTACAATGCATGCCCTCTTTTCATTTCTTTTCCGGTTTTTATCTCCTCTCAATCCTTATCTCATTTTTTCTCCCTCKGTTTTTYATCATTCATTTCTCTTTCCATTTTACACTTCCGGCTCCGCTGGTACTGTGTTTATTAATGGTTGACATATTTGGAAGCCAGGTCATCACCAAATCGAAACCACATACAGAGTTAGTATGCAAATTTACAATTAACAATTTATAGCAAATGGTTTCACATTTTAAAAGTAACYCATTTTCTGCATTGTATTAGACGATGAAAAGAAATATACCCGAAACTATAAARCCGTTTGGTAATCTGTTAATACTTTTCTAAAGACGCGACTCGGGGATAAACTGCTTGATTAATTGAGACAGCTTGAGAATACAAAATTACCGTGTAACACTCTGAAAAATCTGTCATTTGAATGTATTTTCTCATCACGCGGCATGAATGATGGGTGAAGGATAGAAAAAGTCGAACTAATATCGTTGATTGTTCTATGTTCCATAATGTAAATAAAACAATTCTTTAGTACTAAGAGTGAAGAATTGCCTGTATTATACCAGTATAACCACATGTATGACATTACTTTACAGCAAGTTTGTTCTTGTCCTAGTACTGAAGCTATAAAGAAAGAATTCCTTACCCTTCTTTGTTGTATTTATACTGATGTAGACACACTAATGTCTTGAATGTCTTTGGTATTTCGTAAATGGTTGGAGACAGGATGATACTAGCATATCAAAGGTCATGTATTATATATCAAGCTGACACAGGAATACCACAAAATGAAAGAAGTAACAGTGTGATATGAGTAACTTGGGAGAGACAGCTCAGAAAGTGGTTTTCTTTTCATTTCTTTTATTTATTAATTTAAATGTGTCTCAACTCTGCCGTCGTTTGCGGTTCTTTCCTGCAACTCTGAGAAGAAAACGTATCCTTTTGCATAGTCCGTGGAAATATATAAGGGAGGAAAATATTAGAATATTTAAAAAAATCGATCAAAAATAAAAAACAAAACAAAACAACAATGACAACTAAAAAACAAAGAAAAAAAAGAAAAGCAAGGAAGAAAGGAAAGAATAAAAGAACACCAAAAAGAGAAAAAAGGAAAATAAAGGTAAAAAAAAGATAAAATATCTTTCCTGGGAATTGAACCCAGGACCATCAAATTGAAAAAAGGTTGGGACGATTCCCCCGAGACATTCTGTGAARCTGAGGCGGCGAATCGATTTACATTCCGGTTAGAGATTTCGGCTCTTCCATGCTATCCCGATAATTGGTCCTAACTTCGCGCTAACTAAAAAGCCAGTGAGGGAGAAGCTATCCGGCCCCTAGACACTGATGGATAACCCCTTGCACTAACTAGGCAACTTTCGCTGATGTCGAGTGCTACACAAAGAAACTGAGTTCATGTGGAAGTACACAGAAGGCATATAAATACTTTGCTGAGCCTGGATACCTCCATAATATCAAAAGTAGGTTAAATTACTCTTGTTTGACGACATACTATCTTTATATCGATGTATAAATTACATACTTTTTGAAATGTTTTTCGCCGATACCTCAAAAAACATGAAATAACGTACTGCTTTTGTTTTTACTTTCTATAGTCTACAATACTAACCAAGAAACATATATATATGCTAATTGTCATCGGTCGATGAAAAAGAATGACCCGCCACATAATCTTCATACAAGTATAAATATAGTATCAAAAGAAATTAATGGTAAATGTTCATGTGTCGCTGGACTTGGAGGGTTTTGTCACCACATTATTGGATTACTATTTTTGATAGCACATTACAAACAGCTTGATCTAAAGACTGTACCAGACGAACTAACTTGTACCATGATAGCTCAACGATGGAGCATACCAAGAGGAAAAACTATCAAACCACAGTGTGTTGAAGACATCCTTGTGAAAAAGCCTCAAAGTGGAGCCAACTATAACAAATTCATAAAAAGTAACCTATACTCTCCCTCTTCCCACTACCTTCTACTATCTGGTCCCAATGAACTAAGAACACTGAAAATGCTTGATCCACAACCACTACTTGCTACACTTTTCCCTCATGAATCGTCTCCTTCTGAACTTTCTGCAGTCTCAACTAAATTTGGTTTATCAGCCAAAGGAAGTGTACTCTCCTACCAACAAAAACTTTCTGCACGATACGTCATTAATGATTACAGTAACTCAGATTTCCCAGACCTTCCTATAGACACCACTCCAAGATTTTGTAATAACGTTTCCCTTTGCTTATCCAATGACAAACATCTTAAATTTGAATCACTTGGAATAACATATGACATGTCTAGGATAATTGAAAAGAAAACAAGGGATCAAGATGAAAGTGCTATATGGCATTCCCTAAGACTCACTAGAATAACAGCCAGCAAGTTTGGATTGGTGGCCAGAAGAATTTCAAATTTTGACACACTAGTGCAACAACTAAGGCCATCAAGACATGTGCAAACAGCAGCAATGAAAAGAGGAAGTGAAWTGGAGGCCACAGCTGCTGGTGTGTATGCAAGAAAGGAAAAAAATAACAGTGTGAACATCTTCCCATCTGGATTGGTACTGCACCCAGAATGTCCCTGGCTTGGCTGTTCTCCTGACAGAAAAGTTTTTGACTTGGAAGAACTCAAAAATGGTGGTAATCCTTATGGGCTTCTAGAGGTTAAAGTTGTAAAGGAGGGGGCAGAGAACTTTGACAATGTGACCTATCTTARAACTGACCCCAACAGTAATGAATTAGTTTTAAACACTCATCATATCTATTATTATCAGGTACAATGTCAATTAGCTCTTACTGGATTAGATTGGTGCGATTTTTTTAGTTATATTAATGATGACAAATACTTTTGTCAAAGAATAATTTATGATGCAGACTTTTTTCAAGAATGCAAGGACAAAGTTGATACTTTTTATTTTGATTTCTTTTTGTAAAATTGTACTTAATAATGTAATTAAGCACTTATATTGTAATTATATATACATATTATGTAGGTTTTACACTGCTGCATAAAAAACATCTATTTGACAATCACATGTCTAACCTCTTTGGTTATTTTTGATTATAAGTGGGCCTTGAAAATTAGTAAGCAAACAGCAAACTGTCCAGATCTGATTAATTGAACCAAGCAGAGTTAATGGTATTACAGAACTTAAGATGTGGAATTCTTTTATACGGCGAATTGCCCTTTCTACATGGATTCTTAGACTAGCTATTACTTTAGTCTCCTTTACCTGGTCACTAGTGAACTGCTTATTGCTAGACAAGTATGGAGGTAAATTTAATTCTACTTGTTTACATTGTAAAAGATCTTGTATATCAAAGCCTTTATCAGCCATTACACTTTCATTGGCCTCCAGTAAATCTAAAATACCAGAACACTTTGTAATTTCCTTATCTGAAATCGAACCAGTATACAAGCTCGATACAAAACACATTGCACCGTGTGGTGTGATGCCCACAAGACCCTTTAAAGTGGTACTGCTTTTATAATTACTATACAWTTGACTTTGAAGTAACAAAGAAGATGGAACCTGAACTTTGAGTTCAGTACAATCAATGACTACTTTTGTTGTTGGGAATAAAGACTTAAACCCCAGGGGACTATGACGTTGGACATCCTCTAATGTGGGCCATATTGGTTGAGAACCAAGAAAGAAATATAAGTAATTTGCCCATGTTTCAACTTTTCTACTAACTGTGGATGTATGGATATTAAAACGATGTGCCAAATCCTGTTCTAATGTACCCAATCTCACTCTAACCAAAAATAAAAAAAACTCATCTATTAAGACCATTTTCCTGGCACCAGGACGGTTGTCGGCCATACCACTGGCATAGCAGTACACCATTTTCTCAGCACTTGGTTTAAGCAT